GTCTCTTTCTTGCCTAACGATCATGTCACATTGGTAATACAGAGACTGGTTGCAGACATCATCCGAGGCACATCTCTTTCTTGCCTAACGATCATGTCACCTTGTCATACAAAAACTGTCTGCAGACATCATCAGAGGCACGTCTCTTGCATAACGATCATGTCACATTTGTAATACAAATACTGTCTGCAAACATCATGTGAGGCATGTCTCTTGCCTAACGATAATGTCACATTGGTAATACAAAGAATGTTTGCAGCCATCATCCGAGGCACGTCTCTTTCTTGCCTAACGATCATGTCACATTGGTCATACAAAAACTGTCTGCAGACATCATCCGAGGTACGTCTCTTTCTTGCCTAACGATCATGTAACATTGGTAGTACAGAGACTGTCTGCAGACATCATTCGAGGCACATCTCTTTCTTGCCTAACGATCATGTCACATTGGTAATACAAAGATTGTCTGCAGACATCATTCGAGGCACATCTTTCTTGCCTAATGATCATGTCACATTGGTAATACAAAGACTGTCTGCAAACATCATTCGAGGCACGTCTATCTTTCTTGCCTAACGATCATGTCCCATTGGTAATACAAAGACTGTCTGCAGACATCATCTGAGGCACATATTTCTTGCCTAACGATCATGTCACATTGGTAATTCAAAGACTGTCTGCGGACATCATTCGAGGCACGTCTATCTTTCTTGCCTAACGATCATGTCCCATTGGTAATACAAAGACTGTCTGCAGACATCATCCGAGGCACATCTCTTTCTTGCCTAACGATCATGTCACGTTGGTAATACAAAGACTGTCTGCAGACATCATTCGAGGCATGTATATCTTTCTTGCCTAGCGATTATGTCACATTGATCATACAAAAACTGTCTTCAGACATCATCCGAGGCGCGACTCTTTCTTGCCTAACGATAATGTCACATTGGTAATACAAAAGACTGCCTGGAGACAGAATCCGAGGCAAGTCTCTTTCTTGCCTAACGATCATGTCACATTTGTCATACAAAAACTGTCTGCAGACATGTTTGAAGCATACGAATGCATGAATCCAACATATTACGAACATGCTTGAGGCTTGTTCGGAGATAATTCTCATGTCTGCGGATCGTCGCTTTTGTATGATGTATAAGCAATGCTATTGCGGCCCGTCGGAGCTAGGAATTCCGGTGAGTTTCAACTTTCCGGCTTTTCCCACCGTTTTCTATTGATAAAATAACATACTCAGTGAAGCGTTGATTGGTTATCATTTGGTGTACTTCCTGTCTGCAGAAATTGGTAGAGCCAACGTCATAGGCACGCACTATATTGCATAATTTTTGGAGTGTTCATTTCTAGAACCCGGCGGATTTTCTTAGGCAAAAAGCTGTAAAACCAGCAGTATAGTAATGCACCAGAAGTTCATAGAAGCGCTCCCCCTTTTGAACTCATGTTGGGAGTAAATACACTTTTTCCTGTGGCGTCGGTGCGCTTTGTATCAATAGTATTACACTGATGACCCCTGATCTCGTTCGTGATGGTAAGTGGTTAGTTGCTTTTGACCAGACGATAAATGATCACTTGGCGCCCTCAAAGCCACTGTAGGGTATCTTCCCTTCAAACCTTCACCTCTTCCGCCCTGGCGTGCTTTAACAGCTGCGGACCAGTCGCCTAGAGGGCACAAGTCATACTATTTTTTTAGAAGTATTCACTTATGTTCTTTACCTTGGGCAGGGTCCCTAAATCACATTTATGTTTTAAATGATGATAGGATGACTGACATTGCATTATGGCCTCTCGACGTTTGAGCACGAATGTAGTGAGTTTTCGTAAAGGGAACGCTTCTTATTTTAACTTCTTCCGTATCCAGAGTCCCCAATCAAAGCAGCCTCTCTTTTCGCAACTCTAGCGTAGGGAATATAGTCCCAATTTCTCTTTTTGAAATTTCCGCCCATACGGGCCGGAACAGTTTCCACAGCTCCCCGCTTTCCTACTTCACGTCGTTTCCGTTAGGTGGTGTTGCCTCTTCAGCAGTTGCGAATTAGTCCAACAGCACGTAAACAGTAACTGTATCGGATATTTTGTGGGTAAAGTAAAGTTGTGATTAGAAAAAAAAAAGAGTAGCCGCAAAAATATAATTTGTTAACAGTGATAGAGTGCAGGCCAGCTGTTAATTAATCGACATGCATCTTGTAGACCCTGTAATTTTTTATCGTCTTTTTATCGTTCCCCATTTCTGGGTATACAAGATGTCAATAATTTGTTGCTATTTTTAATCATAATTTCTAAAGAAATTCAATGTTGTCGGGCATGAAACAATATTTTCCCCCGATATAGTCAAAAGTGGTCCTTGCCAATGCGCCAAGAAACTGAGGGGGAGCAGGAGGCGAGAGCGCTCGGGGATACCAGATCTACGAGCACTGGTTGGAATGATTAGTGGGTAGACCTGAAGCTAGATGCCTTTGTCTCCACTGGACTCGTTGATCACGTTAGAACGCAGAGCGCTGGGGTCACGGTGGCTGGGATCCAGCGTCTGGGTCTCGCATTCGAACACGTTCGATGAATGCAGCAGAGATAAACAGAGTCAGCATCGAATCTACTCACTGATCATTCCAACCAGAGTTCGGCGTTCCGAAGCCCCCACGCGCACTCCTCTTCTCCTCTCCTTCACGTGCTGGGCGCATAAAGAGTGTGCATACACCTTTAATGCATGTCTTCCTATGTTTGTTTACACTTTTATTGTGCATTCATGCGAACACGCGGCTTTTTCGTGCTAGAAGGGGGTTTACAAACCGAGTAAATGTACAGAGTGCGGTACAGTGAAATTGTGCACCTTTTTTTGGCGGTGCACAATTTGGGAACACAGACGTATGAGGTATTTGTTCATCACGAATCTTTTCCGGCTGACCTGAATAAGCGAACCCCGACAAAGAGCTACCGCCGTGTTCGGGATACCTAGTGTGGGTGACTGAACGAGCAGAACCTGATAACCTTCCTATATTAAGTGAGATAGCCTTAAATTGACGCTTAAGCATTATATCGTGTTTGTCCGCAAACACAAACTTTAGAGGCAAAAAAAAAAAAAAAGGAAGAAAAGATTATGTACAATAACGCATAATTGAGACGAAAGAAATTCGAACATCCTCTAACGAGAATGGAACCCAGGACCAAGAGATTGGGACCCCGGCAGTTTTTTCCTCTACAAGGAGTATACTTTTTTATTCTTTATTGTCTTTACCAAGGGAATATTTAAAGACGGATAGATTATTTCCCATGCCAAGGCCGTGAAGCCTGTGAGTTACCGTATAACTATGTCATATATGACCTTATAACATAGCTTGCCGTCGCGAAACAAATATAACAAAGCTGTGTTGAAGTGGGGAAGTGTGTATACCTTTCCAGCGCTATTCAACCAGGCGAAAAGAAATGTTGAGATACGCCTGATATTCTATATAAGAAAGCGGATGCTCAGATTGCGCTCCAAAGCCCTGGCGACAAACATGGAAGCTTGTAGTAAGGGATTATTAGAATGGTCTATAACTGTGGTCTCAAACTCATTTGACTGTGGGGGCCAGGTAGCCCACACCTAAACGACCGGGGGCCAACGTAAGACCGGGGGGGGGGGGATGTTCGAAGATTTGAATGAAAAAAGACCTCGTGCCCTATGCTTTTCGTAAAATCACGGTTTTGCCATTGACATCTTTAAATTTGATTTCTTTATATGCCTACTTTGGGCCCCGACTTGATGTCATAACAGAAATTAAAATTACACTGCCCCGCTAACGTGGTGGCATCTCTAATAGAATAAGAGAGCAAGTATGTCGTTCTCAGCTCAACATGTTAAAAAAATCGTTTAATTTGAAAGTTCTTGAACTCCTCACAATTTTTATTATAACGCTCTGAACAAATACCTTTTATTGTGATTTTTTTTTTTGAAGGTGAGAATCTCGAGCTTATAGCTTTATCTTTTGGTACTTGCTCCTGCTAAGCGAGAGTTTTCGCAGCCGACATGCATTCTTCAACAAATAGCTCGAGGTTGCAGACTAGTAGCGGAATTGTTGTACATTACTAAAAGCTGGGAAGCAAGAATTAAAGCGAAACAAAGGGCAAATGAACACAGAGCATTATAAAATGTGTGCATACGTTAAAAGAGCAGAGCTATATACTTTCCGAGCAAAAATGAATCGACGAGATGAGATCGCTATGACACATGTTATTTCTAGCGCTCGAGATATGGAAACCGGGACTCGCAGGGCCGGTTGCCTGCGGGCCGCTTCTCAGCTTGTCGCGGGCCGCATGTGGCCCGCGGGCCGCGTGTTTGAGGCCCCTGGTCTATAAAATATCGCGTGACTATATTACATGTCCATGTCCAGTAATTTGACGTCAGGTAAAAAATAAAGATCACGATTTCAAAAGATAAAAGTTAGCCACGAAAGCCCGCAGTATGCCACGGAAAATCACATTCTGTCTACACTGACCTTATGCGTAGGAGCATGGGAATTCGAGCGTATCAGCTGTACAATAAAGCAGTAGCAGTAGTCATATGCTGACCACCGCCGCACTATGCGTTTGAATGTGCGCCTTTTCCAACATGCCAGTGATAGGAGCGCGAACCAGCCCCTCTCATAGAGAGCAGGCGCTGTGGCGCGATCTAGACGAGGTGGTGTAAGCACATTAGAGTGTCCCGTAGCAGGAGCGCGCGGTGAGGTGATGCAATTGTTCCGTTAGCATCAGGTAAACAAAACAATGTTGTCGCATTACATTTTTCTAGGCAGCAGGGAGAGGGAAATTGTGGTTTTACTTTTCACACTCGACCCATAAATATCGACATATATGCAGGCTACATGAGCACCGAAAGGGATCCACCCTCTAACCAATGTATACAACGATGTAGTGCCGTCACGTATTCTTTCTGTGGTGCGTAAGTACGCAATAAAGTGAGAATCCGCACTGCGTGGTAACTTACATAAAACGCTACTAATTTCTCTGGGTTTGTGCAGTGTGCCACCTCGTGGCTAACACCGTGGAACTCTTCTTCGGTTCCTCGAGCAACGTGCCAGTCCTGATGCACTGGCTGCTGCTGGTGTGCGCGCAGAATCCAGAGAGGGTGCAAGCCAGGATTCAGAAAGAGGTCGACGACGTTGTCGGCCGTGACAGACAGCCCAGATGGGAGGACCGCAAGGCGATGCCTTTTACCATGGCCAGCGTACTTGAGATAACACGGTGGAAGGTCACGGAACCCATTGGGTTGCCTAGAGGGTAAATTATATTTTTTTCTACCGTTATTTTGATATATAATCTTAAACCTGAGGGCTTGAAAGCAGTGCTTTGATTTAAAATGTACCAAATCATTGAGTTGCACTCTAATTGATCATAGTTTGATTTTACTCAGAAACGTCTTATAACAAGAGTTTCGTGTGTTCGGTGATTATTTCCTCTGAATCTGGGGGGTGTTCTTTCTGTGTTTGCACAGATTCGGTGTTTTTTGGTGTCAGCTTTTTGCACCGGACAAAAAATCGGCGTTTATCGGGGCCCATATCGAAGAAAACAGTACACGGGAATCGAATTCTCCTACCCCACAGTGAAAATGCGACTGACCTGAATACCCGGAGAAGAATTCGGTATTGATAAAAATAAACGAAACAATCGGCGTGGTTCCCCGTAAAAAAAGGAACGGATTCGCCGACAGCTCAGTGAGGGTTATGTTTCATATGAACACGAAATAAAGCCTTAGATTGTTATGTACTCGGATCTAATATAACACTGGTTTATTCTATCTAAGTTGTTACACTGCACCGATCCACATAACGCCACTTCCGAAACTGTTCGAGAGTCCCCGGAGCCACCTGCAACCGCGTACGCTCGCTCTGACTCCCGCTTCTTCCTCATCCCTCCCGTTTTCCCGCGCATCTGCGGGAGTTCTCTCGCTCTGGCTCACTTTCCGTGCACTGCCGCTGGAGGCGCCCCTGTCGGTGCCACGCTATCCTTCACAAGATATAAATATTTATTAGCGAAACTTGTGTTCTTTTGTATTCAAGAACTTGAATTCTGAGATTTTCGGTTTTCCCCGTCTTCAATAAAGCAAGTTTGGGGGCTATTTGGTGGGGCCCACTGGTATTTACAGATAAACATGAAGCCCTACTTATAACGCGCTGAGCGAGTTTTTTCAGGGAAATAGTGCTCTTTTGAGCCAGAGAACTATGATTCTGAGTCTACACGCCGATAAGAATTCTCTCTTGTCTGCCTTTGACTTTTTCTCGATAGACCTGCTAAGGTGGAGATGGGTACTATAAAGATGACAATTAATGCCTGTCACGTTCTTGAAGTGACGGTGAAAGCGAAAGACGAAGAAGGGGGCAAGCTCGAGCAAAAGGGAAAGGATAAGCTCGAGCAAAAGGGAAAGGAGAAGCTCGCGCAGGACATTCGACGACTGAACCTGAAGGGCGGCAGCTGAGACGCCAACGCTCCCGGCAGACCAGGCTTCGCTCCTGGTGAACCCTGGCTCCGCTCCAGGTCTTCTCGCCACCATCGAGCCGGAGCGACGTCGTGCCTGCTGCTCGCACCAGAAGCCCGGAGCATTGGACTTCGAGCTCGAAGGCGGACGCGAAGCGGTGGCCTCGCAACACTCCTGTCAATCCAGGCCGCGTACCTGGTTGGTCAAGCGACACCATCGAACCGGTGCTGGAAGGCCCAGAGCTCCTAGAAAGCTTGGATCCACACCCGTGACATCGAAGAACAAGGCCGGGTTCCGTTCCAAGCAAGATCGACGCTCGAGACTGTGAGTGTTCTCAGCTCCCACTTAAAGACGACCGAGACTGACTGTAGTGACTGTAGCTATTTAATCACTCTATTTTCTTTTTCCTTTCGCTTCCGCTTATAATTTTGTTTTCTGTTCTGCTTTTTTTTGTGCTTGTGAGTAAATTAATTTTTGTTCGTCTACTTATGTGTCGCTTCGTCTTTCGACCTGCCCTCGTCCCCCCGGAGGAACATGACAATTGGCGAGCCTGCCAGGATACGTGGCCCATTTCTGACGTCTTGTTCTTCTGAGAAGTAGAGGAGCGTCGGAAGGGCAAAAGGCATTCAGGGTCATGGAGGTAGAGAGATTAACGGCTGTCGGAAAGGAACTGGGCTATGCTGGGCCAGAGTTGAGAAAATGGGTGGACGACGAAAGAGCGCGATAAAGAGAGAAGAGAGCTCACGAGCGTGAGTTGGCAAGGGAAACCCGCGAAGGGGAACTAGCTAAGCAAGCTACCCTAGAGAAGGAAAGGGAGATATTGCAGTTGAGAATCGCTGCGCGAGGGGTTCACCAGGAAGGGGCTGATGGGCGACGCGGAGACGCGCAAGTCCAAGCTCTCCGAGGGAGTCCTCACAAGTTGATCCCGCAATTCAACGAGCGGACGGACGATCTCGATGCATACCTGCAGCGTTTCGAGAGCACGGCGACAGGTCTGGGGTGGCCTCAGGACAAATGGGCGACGACATTAGGCCTGTGTCTGACAGGAGAAGCGCTCACGGTGGTTGGTCGCATGACACCCACGGACGCGTTGGACTATCCTAAAGTAAAGCTGGCTCTGCTCCAGAGATTTAAGTACACAAAGGAGGGATACCGTGAGAGATTTCGGGATGCTAAACCCGAGGAGGGTTAAACTAGGAGGCAGTTCGCCGCTAGGCTGGCAGGTTACTTTGATCGGTGGGTTGAGGTGTCAGAGACCGAAAAGACCTTCGAAGCGCTACGAGACACGGTTCTGGTGGAACAGTTTCTTGGGACCTGCTCAAGCAAGCTAGCTGTATTACTTAAAGAGAGGGACTGCCGAACTTTGGGTGAAGTGTCAGTAAAAGCTGACCTCTTTTTAGAGGCGCAAGTGCAATCGCGCACAGGTGCACTGGAAAGAAACTGAGTGCAGGAGATCCAGGTAATAATGATAAAAGCGAGGCCAGGAGAAGTAGCCGCTGCTTTTTTGTGGGAAAGCGGGTCACAAAGCAGAAAATTGCCGGAGCAAAGCTCAAGGGTCTAAATCACCCGCGTGTTGGAACTGTGGACGCATGGGTCACAGGGCTAATCAGTGCAAGGCGGGAGAGGACGGAAGACACCAGGCCTTTTGCCTGTGGACAAAACCACCAGGAGATTGGGACGAGCCAGATGACTCCTTCGTTACTCTGAGGAGCGGAGATAAGGTACCTGTGGTAAACGCTGCCTTTGGGAATCCTCAAAAGTTCTTAGCAGATAACATGCCTGTGGTTGAGGGACGACTCGGGGACCGACGAATAAAGGTACTCAGGGACACCGGCTGTAACAGTGTGGTGATCAGGAAGGACTTGGTTCCTCTCGACAAATTCACCGGAGAGTCGAGTGCCGTCTTTTTATTGGACAGCACGGTCAAGTATCTACCTGAAGCGAAGATTTCGGTCCGGACGCCGTTCTACACAGGCACGGTTCTAGCGAAGTGTATCGAAAATCCATTGTATGATCTGGTGCTGGGGAATATCCCGCAAGTCCGAAATGCGGACGATCCAGACCCAGATTGGGAAAAGACAAATGAAGTGACACCTGGGAGCCCATACGACCGGGCCGAGCTGTGTCGACGATCCGAAAGGTGGTCTGATGTTTACGGAGGGTCCGGCTCAGTCAAGAACAACGAGAAGTCGTGTCAGGTGAATCTAGCGGAAGTTGCTGCCGTTCGCGGTACGAGCGTCACGCGAAGTGGAGAAACGAAAAACAAAGAGGCATCCCTGAAGGTACCGCAGGTATCAGTGATCGATACGACTCCAGAAGCACTCGCTAAAGAGCAGAGAGAAGATGACACACTCAGTAGGTGTTTTGATGTGGTTGGGCAAATCACGAGAAAGCTTAAGTCTAGGACAAAGTTTCAGTTCGTCGTGAAAAACGACCTGTTACACAGATCTGTTGAGTACACGTCGGGAGAAAGACAACTCAACTGGTACTCCCGAAGAAGTTCAGACCGGCAGTGATAACGCTCGCGCATGATGGCATAATGTCCGGGCCCCAAGGGATGAAGAATACGCTAAGCCTGGTGACAGAAGAGTTTTTCTGGCCTGGGATCCAAAGCGAGATCAAAAGATACGTCAGATCATGCGACGTCTGTCAACGCATGGTGCCGAAGGGTAAAGTGGGTAGGGCTCCCTTAGGGAATATTGTCACGAATAAACACGCAAGGAAACAAAGAATAACTGGGGAAACTGAAACGTTTAATGGAGGCGAACTTGTGCCCAAACTAAACAAAGCAAAAAGGGAATAGAAGAAAACAGCAGAGCGTCGCGGACGTCGAAGTCGGCGAAGCAGCAAGGTCGAACGCTGAGGCGAAACTGACTCGACAAGGTTGCGGGTGGCCTCTTATCTAGAATGAGGCACTATCTCGAAGATTCGGCGGTGAAGGTTCGAGCGTAGCGCGCTCGGTGCGAGAATGAACACGCACTTTCTAGAACAACATAAGCAGGGATAACCGACAGAAGTTAAAACGAGAAAGTTCTAGAAGTCCGTGACCCTGCGCGCGGCAATATGCCCACGGTCGAGAGGCCTTTCGAGAAAGCAGCCATCGACATTATTGGACCTATCACTCCGATGTCGAGTGCGGGAAACAAGTACATCCTGACCATGGTAGACATGGCTACAAGATATCCAGGCGCAGTAGCGCTGCGGGCCGTTGGATCTGAGCAGGTAGCAGAAGCTCTGGTCGAGATGTTTACACGCTACGGCGTGCCAACAGGGGCCCTGGGATCGTCAACCACAAAGTTGGAGCCGAAAGTTCGTAGAGCGCGCCGATTGGACATCGGCGACAGAAACGCCAAGTCATCATCGTGAATGTCCAATCGGTGCGCTACGTCAAACTCCGCCCCAACTTTGTGTTTGACGAGTTTAGGGCCCTAGATACTCAGCGACCGCGGTACTAACTTTACATCAGACCTGATGAAAGAAGTAAGCCGTTTATTATCAATGAAGCACATGCTCACCACGCCCTACCATTCCATGCGCAATGGATTGGTCGAGAGGTTTAACGGCACTATAAAACAAATGTTAAGAAGAATGTGCCAAGAGAGGCCCAAGGACTGGGACAGGTACCTCTCAGCGCTGCTCTTCGCATATAGGGAGGTTCCACAATCAAGTTTGAAGTTTTCTCCTTTCGAGCTGCTGTACGGCAGGAGAGTGCGAGGGCCCATGGCCATTCTCAAAGAAATGTGGTCGAGGGAAAAGGTGGAAAGTGAGGCGGAGACATCGTACAGCTACGTGCTCGAACTGAGAG